AGCAATTATTTCCCACTTTCCTCGCAGCAGCAGTCCAGAACTGTTCATCGAATGCGAATCTTTCAATAGAAAGACTTCGGTGAGTGTACATTACAAAATCATTGAATGCAGCACGAGTTAATGCCAACTGACATTGAACCTGAAAATAGTAGGAGTGTTCATGTTTTAAATGCAAGTTACTTCCTACAACTTGTAGTTAGAAATCTTTGTTTCTCATAGCAACATCCATGAGGTCACTGTCTCTTTGTTAATATGGGCACTTTTACTCCTCAATGCCGATGTAACTGTGAAACATCAATTTAGCATCAGGAGAGCAGCCTAGCCACCTATTATTAACATTTACTATCAATCCACAAGGCAAAACTCTTAAATTTTACCCATGGGAAGCAAAGTACTCACAGTACGTTTTCCAAGCAATGGGCTCAAACATTCGGCCGTGATCAAATCTGCGTTGTAAAAATGCTGACAGGGTTGGGGTCCCTGCAACAAAGTTCTCTGCATGTTTCTTCATTTTCCTTTTCCAACTAAAAACATCATAGAACTTAGAAGCAGTCACTCCGTTCTTCCGCTACTCTATCCATATGAGAGAGTTTGCTTGAGCTCTTGTGTCTCTTTCCAAGGTCCAAGAGTCAGGAATTGTTAAATCCAAGTCATCATAGATCAGGTGCTGCTCATCTTTTAATTGGTGGTGGCTAGCATCATAATGTATGCGCCCAAGATGGCTGCAACGTGTTACTTTGTTCTCATCATATTAGGCTTTTTTATTTGTTTTCCTACTCTCTTTCGATCATCATTTATCAATGTTTCGGTTTATGAGAGTCCTCGTACTTTATTGCTGAGATGTCCTGGGTGACGCTTGGTCTGCCTACAAAATTTGACCTTACTATCTTCGTGGACGTTGAATCTAATCCTGGTCCAACATCCCCTCGGATGGTAGGGATACTTAAAGAACAAAACGCTTATCTGGGATATGAGTTCTCTGCGTTTTCGACTGCAACGAAATCGATGAATTGGCTTAATCACAATTCACAACACACTTCTCCATTAGTGCCTTTTGTTCGTCGCACTCAGAGCTTCTGCTACAACTGGAATCTCCCATGTATTTTACTTCCTCTGGGAAAAAATTGCCAAAGAAAGTTTAGAGGTTGCAGAGCGGAAAAAATAGTTCAAGAAAAGCGGCGGCGCTTGAATTATATTCGAGCTTTGGTCTCACCCCAAGGCTGTCGATTAAATTCTTCACGATTTACATGCACGATGAAGACTCCCGTTGGACCGAATCTCAGAAATTTAATTGAACTTACTCCTAACCCGATTAAAAGCTACACACCAAGGGCTTGCTTTGTGAATTTTTGCTCGCTAAATGCTCGTTCAATTAACAACAAGACTACTATCATCAAGGACTTTGTCGTCGAAAATAATATTGATCTTCTTAGCGTTACAGAAACATGGCTTCAATCAGATGCTGACAATGAATTAATTATTCGGGATTTATGTCCTTCAGGTTATTCATTTCATCATGCTCCTAGACCTGGTTCTACTTGTGGAAGAGGAGTTGGCTTGTTATTTCGATCATCTTTCAACTTAAAGTTGCAGCCGCTCAAGAAGTTTTTGTCCTTTGAATATATGGATTTGTTATTGTCAAGTACAGTCGGTTTAGAACTCAGAGTTATTATTGTTTATCGCCCACCTCCCTCGACCTTGAATGGTTTAACACCCTCATTGTCCATTGATGAGTTTTCTACGTTCCTGGAGCACTATATCACTGATCCCGGTGGACTATTATTAGTTGGTGATTTTAATATACATGTTTACACCTGTTCTTCCCAACACTCAACTAAATTTCTCCAATTGTTGGATTCTTTCAATCTTACTCAACATACTCATGGCTTAACACATAAAGATCGACACACCCTAGATCTTGTGATTACAAAATCTGATGATAATATTGTTTCGAATTTAAGAATTGGTTCTCCTTTTGTCATCTCTGATCATGCTGCTGTTCACTTCCAGCTCTCGCTTAATAAGCCGCCGCTCGACAAGAAGATTATTTCATTCAGAAAGCTTCGATCTATTGATTTTGACAATTTCTGT